AAATCCATCCAAGGTGTTGTTTATACCAGTAGCTGGTTCCTTTCTCTTGCTGAATAGTATTCCACAGTGTGGATGCACCACATTTTGTTTAGTCATCAAGCCAATGAAGGACATTTAATTTTTGGCTATTACAATTACAGTTGCCATGAATATTGATGTACAGTTTTTGTATAAAAATTATTCTATTTCTCAGGAATAAATGCCAAGAGGACAATTGCTCTGGCAAATGGTAGTTGCATGTTTAGCTTTATAAGAAACGACCAAACATTTTTCCTGAGTTGCTGTACCATTTTACATACCCAGCAACAATGTATAAGTGATCCAGTTTCTCTTCATACTTGCCACCATTTTTTATTATAGCCATCCTGGTAGGTACACCATGATTCTTTTTTTTTTTCTTTTTTTTTCTTTTTTAGGTTTTCTACTTTCTTTTTTTCATTTTTTTTCCTTGATTAAGGTATTACATATGTGTCCATATCCCCCCATTGAGCCATGATTCACTTTTAATGAACACAAAGACCCAGAGACGAAAGGGAGAGAGCCCACAACCATCTGGGAATCTTAAAGTATTTTCCTAGTCCCTTGTGATTATCTCAAGGTACACAGAAAATGAGCCTCTGCCCTTAATGATGCACTGGGTGGGAATAGAAGAGAACTTTGTTACTTAATACAGATCAGCTACCAAACTCAATAGTAAATATCAGAATCCCCATGAAATTCTGGAAGCATTACCTCCAGCTTCTAAGAGTAAAGCACTTCTGGTCAAAATTTTATCAACAGTAGTGTCAGCAAACTTAAGAAAATAAGAAAAAAATAAGAGATATAACAGTGATAAAGGAAGAAACAAACTTATTATTTACTGATAATGAGATTATTTGCTACACACACAAAATTAAGGGAATCTATAAAGTACCGAAATTTATAAGGCAGTTCACCAGGTTGTTGGATATACAATCATTAGAAAAACCCAGTAACTTTCCTAGATATCATCAACAACCAATTAAAAATGTAAATTTGAATAATCTCATTCCTTATGGAAACATAATAACCTTGAAATCAATCTTTTAAAATCATAGAAATCTCACAGGAAAAAATTGACACTTTGACAAAAGACATTAAATGATGAGAAATACCACACTTGTAGTTAAGAAGACACATATAAAACCTGTCTATTGTCCCCAAATTAATGTATAAATTAAAAGAAAATGTAACCAAAATCCTGATGTTTTTGTTTCTGTTTGTTTGTTTGTTTGTTTTAGAAAAGGCTCTTTAAAAATACATGTGAACCCTAGCCAGTTTGGCATGCCCAGGTTGCAGGCTTGATCTCCAGAAGGGGGCATGCAGGAAGCAGCTGATCAATGATTCTCTCTCATCATTGCTATTTCTATCTCTCTCCCTCTCCTTTCCTCTCTGAAATCAATATTTTAAAAATACACATGTGGAAAGCAACTCATCCAAGATGGCTTTAGGGTCATATGCATCCCTGTCCATGGCCCCAGGACGAATGACGAGCCCTGCCTCCTCCATAGTCACATTCATCAAAAAATCCTATTTCCTGTAAAACACACACACACACACACACACACACACACACACACACAAAAGCCTATGTACAAATATATAGATGGATGGAAGGAAAGAAGGAAGGAAGGGAGGGAGGGAGGGAGGGAGAGAGGGAGGGAGGGAGGGAGGGAGGGAGGGAGGGAGGAAGGAAGGAAGGAAGGAAGGAAGGAAGGAAGGAAGGAAGGAAGGAAGGAAGGAAGGAAGGAAAGGAGGGAGGGAGGGAGGGAGGGAGGGAGGGAGGGAGGGAAGGGAGGGAGGGAGGGAGGGGAGGGAGGGAGGGAGGGAGGGAGGGAGGGAGGGAGGGAGGAAGGAAGGGAGGGAGGGAGGGAGGGAGGAAGGAAGGAAGGAAGGAAGGAAGGAAGGAAGGAAGGAAGGAAGGAAGAGAGAGAAAGAAAGAGAGAAAGAAAAGGGACCAAAAAGAGCCAAGACATTTTTGCATCTTGGGCAAAGAAGCTTCCCAAAGCTTGGAGTGCTAGTTCTGTAGAAGGCAAGGCTCTACTTCAAGCTCCACACCTCTGTCAACTGAAAAGGAGATTCCAGAGCTCAGGATTCTTCTGGACCAGCGCCCATATCCAGCCAACCTCTCCTCGCAACATTTACAGCCTCACTGCCTCTATCCTCCTGCGTCATCATTCAAAAGCACCTTGTGAGGCCTATGCCTAAGTTCACTGAGTCATCCCAGGGAGCCCACACCATCCAGGTCCTCCCTCTTCCTCGTAAAGTATATAAATATTTTTGACAGTCCCCATCTTTTAAACCCATCCTCTCTGTCTTCTGGAATTTGCAGCCTATCAGCAAAATCCTCCACCTCGGGACTTCTATCCTTCATTACTCTGCTCTGATAACCCTGCTTCTCAGAGATCTCAGATCACTGTCTCCCCCCACCCCGCTCTTCTCCCTAAAAACTCCTTACTTTGACATTCATGCCATCGACTACATGAATGCAGTATTAGCCTTATAACAAAACAACCTCTCTGGAACTCATGTCCTCCTCCACCTACCACTCAATTTACTCTTCCCCCTTTTCTACAGAATATACTCAAAAGAGTTTTCTGGACATCCTGTTCCCATTATCTGTCCTCTTTGTCTGTCTGGAAACTGTTTTATAGATTCATCCCGATGATGATACAAAAACTTCCCTTTTCAAGGTCACCAATGACCTCCACATTGCAATGTTGAACAATCGCTTCTCGGGCCTCACCTTTCTGGAGCTCTCAGCAGCACTGGGCACAATCGAACAGTCCTTATTTCTGCACATGTGCCCCACCCCAAGGTGCTGAGCACCCTCTCCGGGGCTCCGCTGACCTCGCTGACCATTCTCTAGCCCCTTCACTACTGCTCTCTCTGCCTGACCATGAACTGTTGGCGTGCCCAGGACCCTGCCCAAGGAACCTCCTCTTTCTGGACACATCTGTTACATAATTTGCAGAACCCAGTGAAAAATGAAAATGCAGCTCAGCCAGTAGGGCTCAGTAGTTAAGTGTTGACCTATGAATCAGAAGGTCATGGTTCAATTCCTGGTCAGGGCACATGCCCGGGGTGTGGGCTCAATCCCCAGTATGGGGTGTGTAGGAGGCAGCTAATCTATGATTCCCTCTTGTCATTGATGTTTCTATTTCTCTACCTCTCTGAAATCAATAAAAATATATATTAAGAAAAAAAAGAAAATGCAGGTCCCTTGTCCAAAATTTATTAAGACTTTCAAGATAGCAGCAGCTGATCATTAAAGCAAATGTAAGCCTCTTCCATGAGGAGGGCCCTGTGCATGTGCAGTCACACACCCATGGAGCCGTCTGCTGAGGACTTTTTTTTTTTTTAATATATATTTTTATTGATTTCAGAGAGGAAGGGAGAGAGAGCGAGAGAAACATCAGTGATGAGAGGGAATCATGGATCAGCTGCCTCCTACACACCTCCATACTGGGGATCAAGCTTGCAACCTGGCATGTACCCTTGACTGGAATCAAACCCAGTACCTTCAGTCCACAGGCTGAGGCTCTATCCACTGAGCCAAACCAGCTAGGGCCGCTGAGGACTCTTGAATTTTTTTCTCTGGTCTAGAACAACACACCCCTGAACTCTAGGCTCAGACATCCGCTTCCTACTAAGCATCTCCACTCAGCTCTCTAGTATGCACTTCACCTGTTCAAAACAAAAAACCTGACCACCTCCCACTTTCCTTCACAAAAGAGAGCCCTGTTCTTTCTGCAGTCTCCCCATCCCAGTACATTCCTCCCGTTTCACAGACCAAAAACCTCCCAGCCAGCTTAGATTCTCCTTTCTACGTAAGCCTAATCCAAGTCACAGCAAATGCTGTTGGCTCCACCTTCCAACATATGGAGGATGTATCCACTCCCCCTCCTTCCACCTCAGCACTGCCACGGGGACCATCTGGCACCTGATTACTGCTGTCCCTCCCACTGGGCTCAGACCTGGTTCTCCACAGTCCAGTCTCAACCCATATGCCCTGTGGTAATTTCACGGTGGAAGTGCCCTCAAAATGAATTTGAAGGTGCCCTTACATTACTCAAATTTAAGAAAAACTGCTCTAAATTATCTGATAAGCTGTTTGCCTTTCACGTTACCCAACTACAGAAATAGTAAAATCACTGGTTCTTTCATGCCCGTTTTCTCAAAACAAACAAAAAGATGACGGGTAACCCCAGCTCCAAACTGCAAACGCTGGACCTTCCTCGTATCAAACATCTACCTACAAACCTTCCTGAAATGGAAAGAATCTAAATTATTTTTTAAACTCCCTTTCTACTTTTCATTGCCTCAGGGTCTGAGGAACCTGTCCTGTATCATAATTACATAGCATACAACTCAACAAGAATTTTGTTTCTGACTGTTTTGTGTGTATTTTTAGGGGAAAGAAGCCAGGCGTGAGTGGCAGGGCGCTGTCTGAAGCAGGTGCACAGGCGGCCCCCCGCCCTGGCGATGCCGCCTGCAGCCCCGGTGCCCGCGGGGGGTGCGGCTGCTACGCGGAGGCCCAGGGCCCGGGAGCCACACACACTCGAGTGACTGACCCTCCCGGCTCCCTCTGAGCCTGAAGGCAAACTCCTGCACCAACAGGCCGGCCGCCGGGAGAGAGCACGGTCTCCGTCCTCCCACCGCGCCCACCACCGGGGACAGCGGGCGCTGCGGTGCCGCCTCCCGGGCCCGGCCGCCGCCGAGCAGAGCGGACGGGCACGCGCCGCGCTCCCCGCGCACTCGGCCCGGGGCCCGGTCCCTGCCCCCCGCCCCCCGCCCCGGAGGGCTTCTCCGGCCTCTGGGTACCGCGGCGCCGGCCCGGCCCGTGAGGGCGGAGCGGAGCTCGGAGGAGGCTGCAGAGGCTGCAGGGCCCCAGGGAGGGAGGGGGCCGGCGGAGGGCGGGGCGGCGTCCCCCAAAGGCGCGGGCCCGCCCCGCGACCCTCCCACCCGTCCCTCCGGCTCACCCACGGACGCGCGGATCCTGGCCCTGCCCGGCGGGGACATCTTAGGGCCGTGTCCTGGCGGAGGTCGCTGGGCCTCTCGCCCCACTCGGGGGCGTCGCAGCCCCGGGCGGGGGGCGGAGGCCGCGCGGGCGGGGGCGCAGGGCTGGCGGCCGGAGGGTGCGGGGAGCGCGCGGGCTGCGGGGCGGCTGCGCGCGGTGCGGCAGCGGCGGGCCAATGCGGGCCAATGCGGCGCCCCAGCCCCGCAGCCGCCCTGCGGGCCGGGAGCGGCGGGGGCGGGTCCGGCGCCGGCGGCGGCGGGAGAAGGCGCGGGGCCGGGATCTCTGGGGATGGCTGAGGAGGAACCCGGACCGGTGCGCGGGCCTGCGGCTTTGGTGGTGGGGAGGCGATGGGGTGGGTTGCGGAGGTTGGGGTGTGATCCGCGGTTTAGGGTGCCTGTCTGGTGTTTGCCTGTCACTTCTCACAGGGCGCCTGGGTCTCCTGTGAGTAACAGTTCAGAACCCATAACTTCGCTTCTTTTCGCCGTTTCTGTTCTTCCGTGTCCAGGTTGGTGCGGTCAGTGTAGGTTCTCCGCAGGGATATTGTTTCTCCGGTGTCTGGGTCTGCGGTCTCCTCACCCGCGGCCCCCACAGCCTTTCTAGAATTAAAGCGGTAAAAGCCCTTGGAAGCACTTACCACACACACACACACACACACACACACACACACACACACACACCCCGACACACACTCACACCTCTGGCAAAGAAACAAAATCATTGAAAGGTGAAGTGACTTGTCCAAGGTCACTTGATCTATTTTTGTTTTTACCTGTCAATTGATGTTCAAACTGTGCTTCCTCCTCCTGAGCACAGTTCCATAGGGGGTTCGAGGGGATAACACACCTGAATCCTTTTAATTTCTGAAGAAAATTCTGACCTCAGAGTGAAAAAGATTTGTGTAAGAGTCTGACCCTGCATTTACTGCTGTGATCATTATGTTTCACGTAACATAAACTTCACAGACTGACAAGGAAAAGAACAGAGTTGAGCACAAAGATCAGTGCTGAGAAGATAAGGCCCTGTGTTCCCCAACTCCTCCCTGCCAGCCTCCTCTCCTCGGGAGTTTCTTGGGGGAAATGCAGTAAGGAGGGGCAACTTGCTTTGTCAACTGTAGGCTGGCGATTGTAGCTTCATGTAGGATTCCTTGCCTGGCTATTCTGGGCCCTCAAAAAAAAAAGTTTCTGATAAGTCTTTAGCAGGGAGCTGAGGAAGAAGAAACCTTTCTAAATTGTTGAGCTGAGCTTCAGAGTGGGAGACGTTTTCTCAGTGGGTCTTCATAGGTGCTGAGGAGGACCTTACAGCTAGTTACTCCTGGCAAGGAGTTTGTCAAAAACGTGGTCACTAATGGGTAAGTAAAATTTCTTATCAATAATAACTCTTTCAGGACCTAAGCAGAACTGAAAGGGACTTGAGCAAAACCCCAACTTTAACGTAAATTGGAAAAAAAAACAAAAACATATATTTCTACAACTAGATGGGAACAGAAAAAATACATGGAGGTTTTTTTAATGTTTAAGAAAAAACTAAATATGTTAAATGTAGTATGTTTGCCTTCCACCACAGACTGATGCAGTGTCCTACCCTGATTTATTGCAACCCCATCATGAAATGGGTTGTTGCTTCTGTTTTAATGTTTATCTTCTAATAACCAAAACTGTCCTGACAACTTCATAGTAGGTTAAGATAGTTCATTTGCACACCTTGAAGAGCACAGCATAGATGTGTGGATGTCACACTTGCACTTGTGGTATCTCATTGATTGCCATGGTTAATTCCCCTGACCTTGGGAAGTTAGAAAGATTCGCATGGCATTTGACCTAAATCCTATCTCTTTTATTTATTTATATATATATATATATATATATATATATATATATATATATATATATATATATATATATATATATTTCAGAGAGGAAGGGAGAGGGAGAGATAGATTCATCAATGATAAGAGAGAATCATTGATTGGATGCCTTAAGCCCTCAACCCAAGCATGTGCCCTTGACTGGAATCAAACCTGTGACCCTTCAGTCCACAGGCTGCCACTCTATCCACTGAGCCAAACCAGCCAGGGCTAAATCCTATCTTTGATGTCTTTTAAAGATATATATATTCCCAAAGGACAAAAGTGGCAAATGATCAGTATTCATTAATAAATAGCCTTAGAATCCAAATGACAACTGGTCACTCAGTAAATCCTTTCCCCCTTTCCAGAGATCTCTTAGGAGGAAGACAAAAAGAGCAAATGCAAAATGCAGAGCAGCAGGGATATCAAAAAAATGTATTTTGTCTCTACACTCATGGAAGCAAGAACTTCTCAAGAAAGAGAATCTGTTTCTGTTTCCTAGACTTGTGGGCCTTCACAAGTCTAAACAGAAGCAGCCTGAAGAAGAAAGAGAATTCTCGAAGAGACAGTCCAGGAAGGATCCACACCATCCCTGCCACTGTGTGTTGCTATGTATTGTCAGAGCAGCTCTTTTCTTCCTTGTGGATGAAGTCGAGGTAAAAGAGGAATTAGAGTTTTCTTTCCCTGAAAGCCAAATGTCTCCCTCCTCTCTCACTATCCTGTGTGCCCTCTCCCTAATGAGACCAGCCAGGACACATCCAGTTCCCCCAGAGAGAGGACGCCCTCTGATGCCTTGACCACACCAAGGAAGGAAATATGCACACCTTCTATTGACGGCACACTCCAGTGTTCAAGAAGTAGTGTTTCCGAGAATTCTTCCTATTACCATTTTAAATTTCTTCTATTTTAATTAAAACCCATTCTTCCTTACTTAACCACCATGGTTCTAGAGAACAACCAGCTAGCCCCTTCTCAAGAAGTTCCTTCATACAAATGAAGACTTTTAAGTCAGTTCTTAAGCTCTTCTATTTCTCAGACTAAAAACTCCATTTTCTTTTTTAAATGTTTATACATGTATACATTTTCTATATGGATACATATGTTTATCCTAATATATAAAAACCCTGGGTCTGTCACATCCACAACAACCGGAAGGCTCAACTGTTCAGGCTGCATGCAGAGCAGGCGAGTGGACTGAACTGCTGATCTCTCGGAGAGAGAGGCAGGGCTGATCAGCAGTGGCAGTGGCTGCTGGCAAGGCCTGGATAGAGAAGCAGAGTGACCAGACCCTGCTTCTCTCTCCCTTGCCAGCAGCCAAGCCTCTCTCTCTCCCCCAGAGGTCAGCAAGCAGTTCAGCCACTCACCAGCAGCTCCACCTCTATGATCAGGCCTGGAGATAGGCCCAGAAATGCTGACTGGCATAGAAACCAACCAATCAGAACCAAATTGGCTGGCAGAGGAGGGCGGTTGGGAGCGAGATCAGGCCTTCAGGGAAGGGCAATTGGGAGCTACTGGGCCAGCAGGGGAGGGCAGTTGGGGGTGATCAGACCAGCAGGGGAGCAGTTAGGGGTTAATCAGGCCAGCAGAGGAGTGATTAGGGGTTATCAGGCTGGCAGGCGGAAGTGGTTAGGGGTAAACAGGCAGGCGAACAGGCAGGTGAGTGGTTAGGAGCTAGCAGTCCTGGATTGTGAAAGGGATGTCCAACTACCAGTTTAGGCATATGGGATCAGGCTTAACCTGGCAATCAGACATTCCCAAGGGGTCCCAGATTGGAGAGAGTGCAGGCTGGGCTAAGGAACAACACCCCCCCCCCCAGTGCACAAATTTCATGCACCAGGCCTCTAGTACATATATAAACATTTTTTAGGGGAAGTGATGGCCTATTTGTTAAGACAGTCACAAAGGCCCAATCAGTTCAAGGGAACAGGAGATATATCTATATCTATATCTATATCTATATCTATATCTATATCTATATCTATCTATATCTATATATAAAAGCCTAAGTGACCATCCGACCTTTCGACCACAAGCGGGCAGATGCTCATTGCACAGGCATGGAAACATGGAACAGACTGATGAATCTCAGAGGGAATCGGGGAGGAAGAAAGGCGGGAAGAGATTAACCAATGATCTTATATGCATACTAGAGACTTGGTGCTCGGATCTGTGCACCAGTAGAGTCCCTCAGCCTTGCCTGCAGGGATCAGGCTGAAACTGGCAGTCTGACATCCCTCGAGGGGTCCTGGATTTCCAGAGGGTGCAGGGACCCCACCAGTGCACCAATCCATAAATTCATAATTCTTTATCCCTTTGCCCTCATGCATTTCTCCTTTGGTGACCCTAACATTTGGTGCTGAAAGCCAGGAGGGTTCCACGGGGATGGAGAGACATCACTCCGGCTTTGGTCACCCCAAGTTTGCTACTCAGAGAGCAGATGGCAGTGGCAGCTTGATCTGGGCTTACCTCCAAATCCTACTTGGGTGACATGATTGCCATCTTCGATTAGGCCTCCTACCCTTATGGGCCTTCCCAAACCAGCCAAGGAGGACACCAGATCGGGGCCCTCTTCTTCCCATTGCTGACCCCACACTTCAACACCCAACACCTGCTCATTTCATCTCCAGTAAGTGACAATTGGATCACCCTTTCAGATATCTGATTTGCACTTCTTAGACAAAAGACCTAGCACTAGGCCAGAAATCCTATCTGGTCTAGCTCTGGCCCCAGGACCAGGTCTCATAGCTTTCCAAGTTGCAGGGGACATCTACCATATGGATTAGACTAGGGGTGTCGAACTCAATCAGAGAAGGGGCCAAAATCTAAAATCCAGCCTAAATCGCGGGCCGAGTGGTTTACTGAACAGTCATAAACTGTCATTGTGATGGAAATGCAGCGGAGTGCAGTGATGACAGCGCGGTGCGGGCCACATTGCAAGGCCTGGCGGGATGGATTTGGCCCGCGGGCCTTGTGTTTGACACATGTGGATTAGACTGTCGTTCTCTCTCCAGAGCCTGACTAGTTGGTGGGCATGCACTCCCTCTAGTCTTGCTCTCTGAGTCTCCCTTCACTGTTTACCTCCTTTTGCTAATTTACACCATGGGGAATTTTTTTCCATCTCCCCCAAAAAACACTACTTTGGAATGTCTCAACCATAATCTAAACACACTCAGCTTCTCCACAGAGGTCCGGCCAAAGTGCCCTATCCACAATCTAAATTATTCACATTGCCCTGAGATCTTAACATTTTTCAGGACTTAG